ACTCACCACCACCATTCTACAATCTCTTCTTTACTAATCTTATCTAATTATACTATCTCTCTTCTTCTCTTTATACTACTATCCCTATCCCTATCTCTTTCCCTAACCCTTTCAACCCATCTATATCTCTATCTCCATCCCTTTCCCTAATCCTATCCTCTTCTCTATCTCCATCCCCTTCCCTAATCCTATCCTCTTCTCTATCTCCATCCCCTTCCCTAATCCTGTCCTCTTCTCTATCTCTCCCTATCCCCTTCCCTATCCATAATCCCTCTTCTTCATCTTTATATTTCCTTCCCTCTTCATCACTTTCTTCCCTCTTTATCTTTATACTTCCTTCTCTCTTCTTCATCTTCTTCTTTTATATCTCTTCACAATATCCTTATATTATTCTTCCTACTTCTAAATAATTCTAATTTTATCATTTACTTATTTTTTCTACTTCTTTATAATCCCTACCCCTATCCTTAACTCATTCTCTTTTAACCCCTAAATCTATCTCTCTTCTTCTTCTATTTTCTCTTTTTTCATACTAATCTTTTTCTAATCTATTAATCTCTTAATCTCTCTTCTTTCTTTCAAATTCTCCATTGAATCCCTAACCTGAATTTTTCACTTTAATCTCCTTCTTTTATATCTTCTCACTTCCTTCCCTCTTCTTTATCTTTATACTTCAATCTCCTCCCTCTTCTTTATCTTTATACTTCAATCTCCTCCCTCTTCTTTATCTTTATACTTCAATCTCCTCCCTCTTCTTTATCTTTATACTTCAATCTCTTCCCTCTTCTTTATCTTTTACTTTAATCCCTTCCCCTCATCCAACCCATTCTAAACTTTCTTTCTTCTAATCTTATATCTCTTCTGATCTACTCTATTCTCTCTATTTCTCCCTCTCTTAAAAATTCCTCCTCCTTTGATCCTCCCTATTCTCTTTCCTTCTACCTTTCATCATACCTCTTTTAATACTCGAACCCTCTCCAACTCACCACCTCCATTCTATAAACTCTTATTTATTAATCGGATCTTATTATACTTTTTTATTTATTCTTCTATCTTATTATACTTTTTTATTTATTCTTCTATCTTATTATACTTTTTTATTTATTCTTCTATCTTCTAATATTAATACTATCTCTCTTCTTCCCTTCATACTACTATCCCTAACCCTATCTCTCCTTCACATTATCATCCCCAATTCTATCTTCCCTTCATACTACTATCCCTAACCCTATCTCTCCTTCATATTATCATCTCTAATTCTCTCTTCCCTTCATACTACTGATCCCTATCTCTTCTTTACACTATCATCTCTAATTCCATTCTTCTAATATATGATTAATCATATTTCTATCCTCTGAATATATTCCCATTCTGAATCCAATTCAATCTCTATTCAATTGCATTTTTATCATTATACTCCGAATGCAATCTTTGATATATATTATCTTCTATATTCTATTGATAAATCAATTTACTATCTCTTGATATGACTATCTAAAATGATCCTATGGAATCTATTCTCTTCTATATAT